TCTAATTCTATGGAGAAAGAAGGATTTACGAGGTGCATAGAACTGCTTGGAGGAAAAGATATTACCATCGGTAGGATCGCAACAGATCGCCATGTTTCATCACCAGTGCCATGGCCAAAGATCACCCAAACATCAAACACCAATATGATGTAAGGCATCTCTCAAAGTGGGTGGTAAAGAAGCTGACTCACAAAGCAAATCAAAGGGGATGTGAGGATCTCTCATCATAGATTCAATCAATCTCAAACCACCTATGGTGGTCTGCTGTAACCTGCAATGGTTATGTTTCTGATCTTCGAGAAAAATGGAAGTCGGTCTTGAATCACATCACTGATAAGCACATCTGATCAGGAAATACCACCAACGTTGTCACCGAAAAATTTCTTCCGCTGAAGCTAAGAAAGTCTGTTGGCTTAAGCCAAACAGTCAAGCTTTCTTAGCTTTAGAGGAAGTGGTCCTAAACACTAAATTGATGAAGGATATTGCCAAGATTGCTGACTTCTGCCACACGGGCAGACTAGAGGTATATCACACTGTTATGCTTAAGTGCCGCTCTCGCTAAGAGCGGTCCTCTCGACTTCCCGTCCAAGAAAGGTTTTTCTTTATTTTTTGCCCATGAAAAGGGTTTAGGATATATGTTTCAAAAATAGTGTGGTCGTTCGCTAATTCTCTTTTTTCGCGTCCTCACAGGCCAAAACTGATTTTGTGGCTAGACCCACCGTGTAAACAACGATCGAAAATGAAAATTTCACAGCTTTTATCGAGGGCGCCGCGGCGAAGAGTGGCAATGATGTATTCTCTGAAATTACACCAGGCACTCGGTCATTTATATTGATCAAGAAGAGCAGGGGTCCTATAATAGATCCCTGGGGGACTCCAGATGTAACTGGAAGAAAATCAGATGCCTCATCATCGATCATAACCCTGTGTCTTCTACCAGATAAATAAGATCTAAACCAAGCTAACAAGGATCCCTTGATACCAAGGCACTCGAGCTTAAACAATAGTTTTTCGTGGGGTACTCGATCGAACGCCTTGGAAAAATCGAGATGTATGACATCTATCTGTTGTCTCATTTCAAGAGCCCTGGCAAAAAGCCATACTGCCATTGCGTAATATAAGTGGATATATTACCAGAGATCTCAATATAAACTTGCTTTTCCAGTAATTTAGAAAGCACATCGAGAAAAGAAATGCCCCGATAATTGGACGCTAGAGACTTAGAATCACTTTAATGAATACGGACGAGATTAGCGTTTTCCATTTTCAGTAAAAGCCCCCAGCACCAAAGACATATTGAATAATCTGCATAAAGAGGGTGAAATTTCTTTAGCGCACTCTCGTAACAACTTAGTGGGGAGGCCCAGTGAAGCTTTGTTGATATCACATACTATTAGTTGTTTAAGCATATTGTTAGGGCTTAGTTTTAACACAATAGTTAAGTCAGTGAAGGTAATTAGAAGTACTACCATGATCAGGTGGAGCAAAAACTGAATGAAAAAAAAGCGATGAATAAATTAGTTTGATCGACGGGTCTGGTGGCCTGCATCGATTCATGCTTTATAACCCCTGGAATTTTACTACTTTTCGTAAATGCTTTGTAATATGACCAAATTCACGAGGATTGTCCTTTAGAACAGCACTAAGGTTGCATAAGTGATAACGCTTCTTAAATTTGAAGTTTTCGTGACGCAGCAACGCTGGATATGTTAATAACCCCGTCTATGCTTATCTTAATGCTTTTTAGCGTGGTTTTTTTTTCTTCTATTTTCGTGCTCTTATTTATTGTTTTACATCGTCCTCTTCTATTTCAGCTTAACTTAAAGAGACACAAACTGTTAGATTTTAACTTGATTGTATGATCGAAGTGTGGAATTAAAAGAGCTATGAGTGGCAAGTCTTCTGTTTGCCGGCTTTAAGTCACATTTTGATTTAATTTTGAAAGACGTTGAGGAAGGTGGAAAATTTTAGCCGCAATAAATAAAAGGGGTGTGTAATTAAAAAGAAAAATGCAGATAGAAGAAAAACCGCAAATTGAATAGACTTTGCTTGGCAACATAATACTTTCGAGGGCTCTTAGCTTGCTCCCACGTGTAGTTTATTTCACGCTCGAACTTTGTCATTCCAAATGGCTTCCTATCTACGGCTATTTCAAACATTCCTTTCACGTGTAGGAAATGATATAGACCAGGAGGAA